ACGACAACTGAAGCAGAGCTAATTGTCCCTTCAGATATCTCAGGAAGTGCAAGGAGTACAAACAGGTGCCTCTCCTGGGATTACTGTCCTCTAGGGACCAAACCAGCTTGTGGAAATACAAGTAGCAGGAAGATTCAAGTGAAGAAACTAACGGGATACTCTGAATTTGCATCTTTTTTTCCATGCCGTGCTGTAGAAATACAATGGAGGTAAAATTGGCAAATACCATCCACATGCTACGCTAAGAAATGACTGACAGAGCACAATGAGAACATTACTCCTGGGCGGAATCAAGTGAATGCATTAAAAAATGCCTAAGTGGAATACGGATATACATTAACTCAATCTTCTTTTATTATGGAATTAAAAAACTTATACCTGTAATTATGGCTTACCTCCATTACAAGCAGAGCTGCCACAGAACTGAGCACGGGCCAGCTTTGTACACGAGTTCAAAGCCAGTGTGATGGTGCCTTATTTTCTTACTAACATCATCTTTATCCTCTCTTGCCCTTCTTCTCAGTTAACAAGAGTTATGTACTGAAAGTGCTGAGATAAAGTAACGGTAAGGAGGATACCACAAAAGGTATTTGAAAAGCAGAAGTAATTTACTACATGTCTGCTTTGTTTTACTTCCTAAGCCTTCCTGTTGTGAAAGGAAATTCATCTTTTCTGGCAGACTCCAGCCTTTTTAGGCCTGAGAGCTCCCCAGGAGCTTTCGAGTGCAGGTAAATAGATGTGAGACTCAAGGAGTACAGTACAAGGAACATGGAATTAATGTTGGTTTTTGCTTTGGCTGTCACATCTGACGTATAAGGAGAGTGCTATATCCTTGCTTGCAAGAAGTACCCAAACGTAAAAAACACAAGGCTGAGTCCTCTGCTCATTACTACGGGTCTGAAATGCCACGAATGGAAAGGTCACGTTGCTGGTGGGTGACGCACGTAGGATCTACGCCCAGCGAAGTCTCCAGGTGAGACAGACGTCGGGGTGCTCCGAGCCCCAGGGGCCCGTGGTGTAAAAGTCAAGAGCAAGGACTGTGGATGGACAATAGGTGCAGCTTGTGTTCTGCCCGCAGCGAAGACCCCGAGAGCAGGCACAGGGGAAGCATCCACCGCCTAATCTAAATAGCACACAGAGTGGTTTTGTCCTCTTCTGTTCTCCTGCCAGTTTGCACATATGTTCTGAGCATACAGCTTGCCCTCCAAAGACCACTTACGGGGGCAATCGCGGGGAAGCAAAGCAGGAAGAAAGTATCCAAAAAGGGAATTTTTTTCAAGAGAAAAAAATGGAGACAGATGTAGAGCGACTAGTCACGGCTGGCGGTAAATAACCCTCTGCCTGGAGTGCTCTCTTTCTCTAAGAAGAGTTCACATATTCCATTTCATGTTTCCTTTCTAGCAAGTAAAATCGTTGTTTGCCTGGCATTTGTTCTCTTTTTTCTTTCCCCTGTATACTTCTTCCCTTCTGTATGGCTTAAAATTGTCTTCTCATTTCCTCTTTCTCTTCTACATCGTGCTCTCTTTCAAGTGCAACGTTTCTCCAGCCGCTCTCTCACGCAGACCTAATTTCCCTGCACCCTCCCTGGCAACGTCTTTCCCCATAACCCCCTCATAGTATCTGTGCCTTGAGCGCTTCCCTCTGCCTCTACATGTGCATAAACATATGAGTGTTTCACACCTGCTCCTGCGTTATAGTCCCCACTTTTTTCTCATGTGCACACCTCAGAATTAAGCAAATGCAACGCACACAGACACAATATTCATCCTCTCGCTCCCATAAACCTGTCAAGGCATATAGGCCAAGAAGCTATCTCTGCATAAATCTAAATCTCCTGCGAGGAAGCAATCTACTCAAAGGCAATAAAGCCAAAGGATATATTATTATCTTTGGTGTGGATCCTACTGGGCTGGGAGGTCGGCTGCTGGCTCCTCTCTGAAGTTTCCTTCCCAGCCAGAACAGTCATCCCACAGACAAGTCTAAGCTTCCTCTCCTCAGTCTGATTTCCTCCTCCCGTCGTTTGGCTGGTAACCCAAAGGACAGGGTTTAATTACGGAGTTTGGAAACCTGGCTCTGCCAGCACAGGATAAAACTTCAGCCTGCCTTCCGAAACGGCATCATTCTGTACCGTCGATACCTGCGTTATCCCACGCAGCATAAAGTGAACCACATGGAAGAAATGCCAAGTCAAACAAAAAGATGGTTTTAGTCTTTAAACTCCTCCTGTGAATTTCACTGAGAAAAAAATGAACCACTGAAGCTCAGATATTATTGTATGCTAAAACTGCGCCATCATTTTGACTGTAGATTAAATAGATGGCAAGGTCTTTTTCTGGACGGGAGAGACATCGGAAAGGATGGATCTGAAAGAGGTCCAGGCTCCAAAGCTCCCCAAAGCTCAGAGAGGAACGCTGCGGCAAGCCACCGGGTAATATGGGATGTTAACATCATTCATACGGTTTTCAGATGACTGATATATTTTCCAGGCAGATGTCCCATAAAATATTTTACACTTCTGGAGATAAAGCACCCATGTCAAAGACAAAGGGCTGGACATTAACATCAGACCCTCGTGTGATTTCTGAGGAAAGGCAGGGCACTGCACACAGCATCACAGCAGGATGCATCCCTCACTGGGGGGGAGCACCTTGTGCCAGTGTCACCCTGGCATGAAAGGACACTTCAGTACTGTTTTGTCCTTCACCACTAATGAGCTGTGGCTCCTCAGGTAATCTCTCTGCCAGCCGTGCTCTTGCAGGTGACCCTGGTTTACAGAGAAGCTGAGGCAATGAATTCAGAGGAGAGGCTGCTGGAAAGCCACGGCAGAAGTCTTGGGGTGGGGCTGCACAGATATAGCACGAAGATGGTTTGAAAGTGCCTCCCGCGCAGGCAGGATAAAGCTCTTTTTCTTCACAACTGTGACAGTGATCAATAGCTTGGTGAATCTGAGCTATATCTAGTTGGTACCTGGCTTGAGTCCCTGATGTTGCAAGGTGATTTTCTGCCATTTTACAGGCAAGACTAAGCAGAATCTGGGATTCTTCTGTAGTAAGTGAGGAAGGTCATGAGGAAGAAAGAACTTTCTCTTCTCTGACTTGTTCTTGCCTCTCTGAGGACCTCAGGAGGTTTGAGATGGGCAGTTGTGTTTGATGGGCACTCAGTGGTGCCAAGATTGGTGGAGGCGCTTTGGAGGTGTAAGGCTTTAGGTACTTGTCTTACCCAGCTCAGCAGCTCAGCGCCACCATCTAGTCAGGACTTGGATGAGACAGAGGTGATGACAACATGTGGGGAAAACCACCAGAAGTGACAGTGAAATTAATGGCCAACCTCTGGCTGTTGGACAAATGAAGAACATTTGTCACGAACAAAGAGTACCCCAAACTTTGGGAGGACTTCGGCTGACAATGATGTAGAAGCAGTGACCCGTCAGCTTTTAGCCATCTGTGTCTGCAGAGGAGGTTGTCATCTCTCCCCTTCAATGGGTGCTGAGCTTTTGTTCGTGTTTTTGCCGCTCCACGAGCAGACTAGTTCAGTGCAAGGTGAAGCTCTGCCTTGCATCATCTGGAGCCTGGAGCTGATGGAGGCAATAGCCCCTTGTGCCCACCGAGCAGGGCACCTCCCTGAAAACACTGGACCCCTGGGGACAGCGGCGGCGAGGCCGTCACGGGGAGCCTGGCACTTGTCTGCCTGCAGGTCCACCCTCTCCTCCTGCCAAAGTGCCACATCTGCAGTCAATAAGGGCCCACAAGCTGGATCCTCCTCATTAGAGGAGAGAGGGCAGCTGGCAGGGGATCCTCCAAGGGCTCCCAGGCACGGGAATCAGTTCCCTCCCAGTCTGGAATAGCCCAAATTTGGTGACTTTCTGGGCATGCTGTAAAGGACAGCTGTTTGACAGGGTCTCCAGAGAAAGCTGTGGGTATGTTTCCTACATGATGAAGGATATAGGTGGCTGGCCAAGTGCCCACAGAACTGATTTTAATGCTCTTCAGGTTGAATTTCCTTTTCTGCACTGTATAGTTCATTATACACAGGGCCCTGGACAAGCATGTGTTATTTCTAAACAAACTGAAAACATACTATTTTAAACCCAAACAAACAAGAAAGGGAAAAAAACCCAAATGTATTACGAAAGATCCTTTGGGCTGTTTAGAGGGCCTTCTCAAACACTGGGAGGCTGAAGATGAAAGCACTGCTTGTCTTCATCTGACGAATATGACTTCTGTTACTTTTATTGGCAATAAATATTGAATATTTATCTGTAAGCAGAACTGAGGCACTAAATTCACCTATGCCCATAGCACTGACCCAGAAAAATATTTTCAATAGTATTAAGCACCCAGATGATCAAGGTAAGTGGTCGATGGACAGTTAAGTATGTAACATAACATAACCCAAAAGATGATCAACAAGAAAGATCACACACAAAAATTAACTGAGAAAAGGCAGAAGAGCTGCTTCCTAAATCTTCCGAAGTGTAACACCCAGTGATATCTATTTTGATATGAAGCGTCCAATCACATTTCATGGTATTACAGATTAATAAAACAACTCCTTCCACAAGTCTCTTAAAAGTGATTGCTAAGTGAACTCGAGTGTTGTATAATGCTTGAAAAGTCCTTCTACCTTATATAAATTTGGGATCATGCATTTAAACGGTGTAACTGCAGGGCAGAGTCCAGACAGGTACTGCTTTTTGCTAAGCGATTGTCACCGCTATCCCAGAACTGAATCCGGACGTTTTGACAGAAAAAGACGGCCTATCTTTTGCTGCATTATTTAAATACTTGAGATATTTGGCCAAAATACAGACGTGACACACTACAGAAACATTCACAGCTGCAGGAGCAATAAAACCACTACAGTATAGACTGACCTTTTCTCAGAAGAAGTTACAAGATGTTTAGAATCGATCACCTTTCTGCACAGCATTCAGTGTATTCTGACAACAAAATGGAGCAACCAGAGGTGATGTTCTCGGGCTCCTGAAAGCCATGGCTTACCTGGCTCCACTTCATGCCATCCGCTTGACTGGCTGGCGCCTCCCCGGAGAGCGCCCTTGGCTTGTATAAAACGGCTCCTCACCGGGACTGTCCATCTCATCCTCCACAGACTTGAGACGTTTTGTAGAGCTGCGAAAGGACAAACGCATCATAAATGCTGGATGTAAGGAAAGGAACAAAGGCACTTCTGTTGGGACATACCTTGCTAGCCCTGCTTGAGACTAACTAACTCCATTATGGAAACTGTAGCAGACCGAGGGCCCTGAGAAGGGGAAGGTGTGAGTTCTGCACGGCCAATCTGCCCACCCAACCTCTCGGCATCTACTTTTTGTTTCTGATTTGCTTCCTTGCCAATGGCAGAGCTTCGGTGAGATACAAAACAACCTCCCACAGAGCCCAGACTGAAGCCCTAAACACGTGCTAGTTTAACTAGAAGATAGTTTAACATTTAGGTTTTCACCAATCAAAAAGTAGGCCATTTGTCAAAGCACACAGAGATCAAGAAAGAGGCAAGAATTTAATTTGTATTGCGCGATTTTTGCAATTTGAATAAATATGGTAATGATACATAAGAATTATTTTAACTGTCAAGATTTTTCCACAACTTATTCTGAAAGACAAATTATTTATCAATTCAAACGTATATTTTCAATCTTTTAACCATAGCCATTAAATTAACCCAGACTTCAGTCCTATAAGAAGCAGCGTAGACAAGTGAATGACGGAAACAATTCACTCTTGGTTAAAATGTTCATGTTACCCTACAAGTACAAGTTGCATTTTACTCTGCAATTGTCTGCCACCAAGCCTAAAAAGCCCCCAATAGCTATCTCTGGCCAGCGTCAGTACTAAAGGATTCCCTCGTGGTATATCACACCTCCCTCACCGAAGGCTCAGGAGCCAGAAGAGCCCTTTCAGTGGTCTCTGGTGGCCACTGACTCAGACTCTGGTAGCTCTGCAGGGAGAGGATCCCAAAGGCAAAGACGCTCAGCTTGGCTCTGTTTTCTATAATGAGTTGTACAGACTGCGTGGGGACGTTACCGAGAATTGCTCTTCTAAGTACTTTTCCAAGGCTGGGTCAGCTCACGCTTTTCACCAAATCTGTATTCTATTAAAACTTGAGGCATTCAAGAACAGGCTCCTCTGTGTAGGGGGAACATATTTAACAGACATCAAATATTCCGCTGCTGTTTCTTTCGGTTTAAAGCTCGCAGCCTCTCCGCAGCTCCCCACCCGAAGCGCTGCACAGGTAGGAGCTGGCGGGTATGCAAAATCAGTTTGTGAGAAACAGGAAGAATAATTCTTGCGGTATGCGTGGAATGCAGGTTTGGCCATTCCTTAATTTAGAGAATTGTTATGTGTCAATAGGGGAAATTGTGTGCATACAATATAATTACCGCCTGATAATTCTGATAATTCTGCTGAGTCTGTGTATTTAAGGAATTTTTTTTTTTTTTCTGACTGGGAACAGCCTAATGAGAGGAAAACAAACATATTACCAAGTTATTAACTACCCATGCTGTTTATAATTAGCTCCTTATCAGTGGTAGCTATTTGCAGAAGAATAGAAGAGCAACAACTGAGCTCTTAAGTAACATTAATAACCTCACTTTTTTGCTTCTGGAGTCACAACTAAATTCTACCTGAGAACGGTGCTAATGATGAGCACTGTAGGGTACAGCTTACATGCAAAAAAGAAAGAGCACAAAGTTTTTAACTGATGTGTAATGGGAATTGCAGTCTCCGAGGTTCATAACATGCACACTAAGTGCAAGATGTAGAATGTTCTTCTAATCACTGCAAACTGTAAGAAGTTATTGCTAAAAGCTTCTCTTTAAAGATTTTTTTTTTTTAATAAAAACAACAGCTATATTCAAACTATAGAGACTTTTCACATGTGTACTTGCTTACTGCAAAGCTGGTGGCACTGCAGACTGAGATAAAAATGTAAAAGAACCCTGGGCTGAAGTTAGACTTTCTTGTCATGTCTTTGAAATAAGTGATCTGTTTTGGCTGTGGGGGAAAAAAAAATCAATCTGGTTCCTTAATAGTGTTCAAGACTACTAGAGTGACTGGGCTTGTTTATAAATCTAATCTCATGGATGGTTAAAGCGAAAGGTAAAAAATAAAAAATATCCTTGTTCAATAGTTGGCACCTAAGCCAAAATCAAAATCAGACTGGGTATTCATCTGCATTAACAATCCTGTTTTCTAAAGGTTGAGTCACAAATTTCTAAATGCTATAGGAAAACTAGAATGCATTATAGGCCAAGGTCCTAAAACAACGTTAGTCTCACAGGGTAACACTTTTTAAGATAAAGAACGCATATAAATTCTATCTTAAGACTTTCTTGCTAGGACAAAGTGGCACATCTCAATATGCTCCCTATCCTCCTCTGCCACAAGTGAAACTCCAACAATTCCAGTGGAACTTCTCCTGATACACCAAGGTACAAGCCAGAAGTTACACAAGATAACGCAGCAGTTTTTCTTCAAAGCTCGTACGTATAAAAGCAACTTTAACAGCAATCCAGTTGAATGTTCGGCTTTGTGAATCTGAAACAGCTCCACATCGTGAGGCCCCCAAACAGCTTGTCAAAGAATTTAATGGTTACTTTCCCAGATGAGTAATGATGCTGGCCCGGGTTTCCAAGTAACTTGGTATTAGGCAGAGATTAAATTACCTGGTAGAGGATGTGCTAGGTAAAGACCTCCTCATTGCTCCTGGGCTCATGCTGTAGTATGAAGAACTTTCCAAATCGGAGAGAGAGAAATTAGGGCCTGTTCCTGCAGCTATCGGTGCTGGGGAAACAAAAGAGATTGCAGTCAGTAAGTCATGTGAATATGGCATGAATTGCACTTCAGAACCACCACCTTCTTCCTCCTGAGTGTGCTTAGTTTCATGATGAGAACAGGTGGGACATGGGAATTTGGAAATGCTAATGGTAACTGGCATTGCAATCAAGAAGATGTAAATTTTATCAAGAAAACAATGTTCCATGAGATAGACATTTACATTCCTCCAAAGGTATTCTTTTTTAAAAAAAATTAAACAATGATGGCAAGACTTTCTTTAAGCACCGCTTTTCTATTAATACCATTCTAATATTTAATTAAACTTGTTGCTTTCACTTTTAGGACAACGTTGCATTTATTGGCACGGTTACAAATAGGCTGCATCATCCCTGTAGTGTGCTTGGCATAATCTATAAGCAGTATAGGCAGGGAAATACACACCTCAGGACCTTGGGTATATACGTGATGTACATCCACAAGCACAGAGGTTACAAATGCTCCTTGGAGAAAGCACAAAAGCAGATGAGAAACCTGAGTTCTTCTCTGCCTGCAAGCATCTGAGTTTTCCTCCAGCTAAACCAGAGCTAGAGACACACGACTCTCAAAAACTTTTATGCAGCGCTTAGCTTCCCCTGTTCACCTCTCATTACCTTATCCAGCACCTACGTTTATTGTAAGGGATATGAACACCTTTACTTTCCCTGTCCTAGAGCGTTGGTTTTACATTCCTACATGAATTCCTACACACTCCAAAGTTTGCAGGCACGAGGCTATGAGCTCCGTGTGCCGTATTCTTCTTGGAACAGAAAAGGAACGGAGCAGTTTAATGTTAAAGTCAACAAATAATGCATTTCACAAAAAAAGCCACCGTACGGCAAACGGTACCACATCCACTGTGGCTGTTCCAGTGCTGTTTGCAGGACAATACAACTTTGGGAGCTGACAATCACGGATTACGATTTTCTCTCACATTTCAGAGCCATCTGAAAAAGGATGTACAGCACAATAAAATGCACAAGCTTGGCCCGGAACGTATTGTCTGAGAGCCCCGATTCACAGCAACAAAGGCGAAGCAGCCTCAGTGCCACCCGAGGATGCTGAGCCAAGTTTAATCTTTGGTCTGAGAATCTGGCCCATTTTCAAACACGAAAAAATCTTTCACTCCAACGGGACAGGAGTGAGGAAATGAAGACAGGATAGCTGGTATCAACCAGCTAACATGTCTGGGCTGAAACGCAGGCTGCTGGGAGTGCTGCCACTGACTGTAATGGGGCCAGTATTTCACCCCAAGCCTTAAGGAGCTCACGATGTCAGATTTGATGGAGGAATAATGTAGCTTTGCAGCTGCCTCATCATCCCCACAAGACAATTAGTTGTTGTTTGGCAAGGGTCTTTTAAGAACGTCATTGAGACAGAAAGGGAACAGCCTGGATAGCCACGGACTTCTAAAAGCATGGGATGGAAAATACACAATGCCATTAAAACTTGAGAAAATCTGGAATGATCATTAAAAGGAATTAAGTTGGGAAGTAATTTATGACAAGAACACTCAAATCCTTTGTTATCTTCTCTTAACTATCATACACTTCCTGCACACTGGGTGTGTTAACAGAACGAAAGAAAAATTAAGCATAGTAAAATTAACTCGTTTTATCAATTTGTGCTTTCTGCAAGTTTCCTGACAGCAGCTACAAGAGGCTGTAAAACTGATGAATTTGCATGGAAAAAGAAACCGGTGTAAGTAATTTGTGTAAAAGGTAACACGGACATGGACTGCTATAATTCAGACACCCTGCAGATAGCAGACTGCTGCAGTGTGAGCAGTTATGGGTTAGAAAAATGACCACACTGCAGTCAGTCTGACTTGAATGGAAATCAATCATAAAGGTACTCTCTGCAGCATCTACTCCACAGTTTTCAGCAACTTCTTTGCCAAACAGATTTGAGCTCTGTAAACCCTCTGCTGATCAATTCCTCTGCACCCTCTACCTACCAAAGCCTAGCGTACAGGTTAAGCATACTATTTTCCAAACAGGAACGTAGAAAGGCAAGCATGAAACTAAAGCCCCGTTTCTTTCTGAGGCACAATGAATTTGCTAGCCATTGCAAGATTTATGAAACAGTTTTATTCCAAACAGATATGGAAGAAAAACTGGCATCTGGATAACGCTTCTCTTTCTCTCACCGGCCTCCGTTTATCGCTCTCTCCCCAAACCCTGGATATTTCTGTTCCAACCCTTGCACTGGCCTTATAGGAAAATGAAACCTATCTCCAGACCCGGGGTGGAGTAGGAACAATGTATTAATAATGCTGTGTAAACTCAGCACAAAGTAGAAAGGGCTAATCACACGGTAATTTCCGCCCGGGTAGCAAACACGAAGGATGCTTTGTTTGTTACAGGTCAAACCACCTTGCCCCACGCTCAAGTGCCTGTTTGCAACGTGAGGGTTAAAGAACGAGACTCCCCTCTGACACACACCAACAGAGGTTAAAGTGCCTGGCTGGCCTACGGTGGCAAGTACCCGGTGGCAAGTACCCGGAATCCCTCGGGGAGCTCGCTGCTGGGCATCCGCCTCCTCGTGCAACCCTTGGGTCTGCAGTGCACCGTGCTGGGAGAGCGGGCACGGTGCAGCCAGCCCAGCCAGGAGGCATCCGAGCCTGCTCCCAATGGCTGCTCACACCGCCTTTGCGGACTGTCCACCCTGCACGGGCCCCGGAAAGCTGAGGGAAAGGGAACGTTTGCATTTATTTGCAAGATTCCCTGCAAAGGCTGCAGCTCCGGAGAGTAAGCAAAGGGACCAAAGTGGTGCAAACTGTGGCAAAACTGTCTAAATTAACCCTCTTTGTTGTGGTGTGTGATGATCCATCATGTGACTCCCTTACACCCCTGTTCCTACACCCCAGGAGCAGGCTCTGGCCCCACACGCAGTGGCAGTGTGGTCGGGAATCTGCAGCCTGCAGAAACTCCAGGCCACCGACACTAAAAACACGCTGTTCCCCCCCTGCCTCTAAGAAACGTTCTGCAGCAAAGTGACCTTCTGAGAGCTCAGGAACATCTCCCAAACAGGAAAGGATGTCAGAAATTGCAGCAGCGAGTCAAAACAATAGTCTCTACCTATGCCACCCGTGCCAGGGCTCCGACTGGTGGGGGGCGAGGAGCCCCTCTGCCCCTTGCACCCAGCCTGCCGATGTGCTGGGTTTCTAGACAGAGACCAGCCTCTGCTCCTATTTCAGCTGTTGGCATCCCAAAAAACCCCTGTGCACTTGGGACACGTTTCACTCTCTCAAAGGAAGAGCCCTCACTGCGGGTTGACGGCTGCCTGTTAAACTGGGGGGGGAAGGCGGGCACCCTTGCATGGGCACTGGCACCGGGCTCCTCCCAGGGACACAGGGCAGCATCTCCCCCGCTGCCAGCCCGCTCCCTCTGCTGCCAGCTTGTTAGCTCAGCTCTTCACCCAAAAGGTCAAGAAAAATAGCAGAGAAATTAACAAAAAGCCCTCCGACTTAACCCAATTGGAATATTTATTTTGAAAAATTTATTAAATTACAGAACAGGAAACCCACTAAATAAAACCAGCCAGGCTGGCATTTGTCTTCCTTGGAATACAGCACTCTTCTTTGGTCCTTAATATTTAGCTTCTCTTTTTTCCATTTTCACGTATTTATTTTTACAAAGAGGCTGGGATGTGACTAAGATCATTACATGTGTAACACTGCAGCAAAGTGATAATGTGTTTAAGGTTAAATGGGAGAAACATGACATTTGACTAATAAACTTTTTCCTGTGTTGTGACTCCATAAACAAAGGGAAACACACTGCGTTGCTGCTGCCGAGAGGAAAGGGGAGCTGGGGTTGTTGGTTTTTTTTTTTTGCAAAGCCTTTGTTTCCTACAGACTGTATCGTTAGATTCAAAGAGGTTTTGCCGAATACAACAGATATGAAATGTGTGATGTTCGTTTTAAAATTACAAGTACAGCCTGCTATTGACCACCTAATTATGCTGAGTTCCATTTATAAACATAGCTAACCACTAAGTTTATAGAGACTTTTTGTGCTGCTTTAATAGGATATTGATCGAGAGCAAGGTTTGAGTGGACTGCCATTGAATTGTGTAATGGCATACAAAAGGCAAGGTCACAGCAACTGTTCACTCTATGCCTGCAGCCTATTTTTTATTATAATTTTTTTTTTTTCCCCCCTTCCTCTCATACCTAAGCCCAAACAGTGTGTTTTGGATAGCCGTGCTTCGCTAAGGAATATAGAGTATCTTTTTAAATGTTAATTTTCATGCTGCTGACTTTAACTACCTTCACTACTGTAATGCTTAGTATAGCAGAAAACATACAGACTGCTGTTTAGAGAGAGATGTTTTATTACATCCCAGCTTTCGCACACGTGCCCTGCGTGGAGGAGAGCCTCTTCTCCTCTCCTGGGCTCCAGGAAGGCAGCAGCATCCTCCCTGCCCCTCGCCAGGACCTCCTGGACCCATGCCAGGAGCCGGCGTAGCCCACACCTTGCTGTGGACATCCAGTACGTGCCGGGGCTGCCAAGACCTTCCCTGTGGTTCATTCCGGCTGTACCTGGTCACTGGACAGAAGGCACGAGGAAGCCACGTTTCCTCCATCGCACTCACGCTCCGTGCCCGGAGCGGCGCCGATTACTTTTGTTTCCAGCACTTGCCCACCTGCCTTGCCTGCAAGCCTGGCACCCAGCGCGTCCAGCAGCCTCGGTGCTGCGGGATGCCCGTCCTCTCAAACACCGTGGCCACAAAAGCACCTCTTACCGGGGGAATTAGTGCGACTGTCTCAGGGGTAATTAGCTGGACCATTTATGTGTTTATACAGGAGCGGTGAGCGACTGCGCGTACGCTTCTGTGCTTGTGGTTTCGCTGGCTCATTAGAAGGATTAAAAGTCACCCCGCTTGCTCCGTGCAGCTCCTTACTGCACACAGCTAACGTCCGAAAACTCAAAGCGTGGCATTTTCAGTCCAGGGCGCAGTCAGAATTCCCTTGTTTATCAGCATGAAGGATGATGTCATTTTGACAAATAACACAGCACAAAACAAATATGTTTGATTTGGCTCTAGCGAATGTTCATAAATCCTAAATCTTTCTTCACATCCTGGGCAGTGCAGTTTATCTGGCTGCTTGAAGGACCTCCAAGGGAGGAGGATCTTCCCAGCAGCTCTCTGCACAAAAGCACGCGGCGCAGACTCAAAAGATGAGAGGGGAATGGCATTCCCCGTGCCTCTCTCCCTGTTCCAGTCTGCCATGGAGCGAAGGGGACTGTAGGCTTGGCAGTGGCTTGGCACCATGGCTACCCCTCTGTTGGCACCTTTTGCAGTGGGTATTCTCCAGTGCCGTGTAGATAGTTGCACGCAGCAAGCAGAATATTTTCCTAACAAGGGTAGAGAGGGAGAAGGTTTTGCTCGGCCAACAGCTGGCTGTCAGTTCCCAAATCCATGTATCTCCAACGCTTCTGCTTCTGAGCCTTTTGTTGTCAGCCCAAGGCTCTCTTGGATGGAAGAATGAAGTCTCTGTTATCTGAAGGGGTCTCCCCAGTATCCGGGGTGACAGACAACACTTAGAAAGGAGCTCACACCCTTCGCCTGCTAATAATGTGGGAGAACTGACAGCATGGCCTGCAACATCCACATCAGCTGGGGTGGAGAGCGAACGATCTCTTTTTCAGATGCACATTTATGATCTACTTTCTCTATTTTACTAGGCTCTGCAAGATTCAGTAGCTGGCTAGCATTTTGAAAGAAAACTGCATCTATAGAACTGAAGGAAGCAAGTTTCTGTTAGCAAAACAGTCTAGACTTGTTAGATAGCTCACAGAAACTGTGATGATCAGCACTGATAGGTAAGATAGATAATGGTAACAGCTGACCTTTCGCTTGATTAATTCGTTCCCCAAATTTGCATGATGGAGACAACCGCCTATTACTCGAGACTCCTTGTCGTGTGAATCTCTGGGAACTTTACTAAATAAACCTGGCACATAATTGCTACCAATGATATTTCGCAAAATTATAAAAAAAGCAAACCACAAGCCAGCTAAAACTGTGGGAAATCACTTATTGCTGTCATCATATTATCAAAAATGAGCACGGAAAGAAACATGACAATGGACACACAGAGACAACCTCTTTGCAAAGCAAACACAGAGCACACTCAGGAGGAGAGCAGAGACTAAACGTGAGGACCTGCTACGGACAGGCAGGCTTGTTCCTTCCCTCGCCAGGGTGGCTTCTGAAGGAGCAACGACTTTCTAGAAAGTAAGAACAAGAGAACGGACTGAGGACGTTTTGATTACTCAAGCTACAGACTCAATAGCTGACGGTGAGTCTGGATGATGGCTATCCATAAGCTGAGCTCCCCAGCATGAAAGCAACCCATGGACTGGTCTCAAATCGAGACATGGGAACACGTAGACAACCCAGCAAGGGTTGTATAGAAAAGCACGCTCTTTAAAAGACCTTGCCTGCCAATTTAGGAAAATACTCAGCAATTCCTTTGTTGCTCTGTTATGTTAAATAATTCTTTGAATATTAGCATGTGAATTCATACTGACTTTGCTGGGAATTTGTTTCTAGACTCTACACTAAACATATCCTACTGGGTAGCCACGGCACGTCAGGCTGCGGGCTTCTCAGACCTCACAAAGTAAACAAGGTTACAGCTGGTCAGTACATGTCTGGGGCATCTCCAAGGAAAATCCAGGGTGCTATCAAAAGCAGTGTAGCTAAATCAGTTGCTGGCACTCTTCCCTCTGAGTCAGTTCTGAAGTGATATCCCAATATGCTTTGGGGACACTATTTTTGGTAGAGGTGCTGGCTTGTGGACAGGATATAAAACTGAGGTCTTGACCTCCCAGGATTATTAAAGAGCCCATGAAAAAGAGTGCAAACCCCTGTGCCTGGAACAGATAAAACCTGAATCTTTTTATTTGGCCCACCAACACCTCCTTTCTCATTTCCGATAAAGTTCACGCCTGTCCTGCTCTTTCTGCGTGCAGGTGCCCTATCCTGGGAGGTGGAGCATTTCAACGGCAAGCAGAGGAACACCTCGGACACAGTTCATACTTTGCAAAATATGCAGAATGCTAGGGGTTTTGATACACAATATTTTCGTTTAGCTACAATAAGATATAATGGAAGATTAATAGGAAGAAACATGACGCTCATGAGGTCAATGTCAAACTCCCAGGAAGGCTGGGACCGGGGCTGGCTCTGAAGGCTCCAGTCCTGAACGGGGGCACCTCTCTGGCAACCCTGTCCTGTGCACACACGAAGCATGGCTGACAGAGTCCAGAGGCAGTTCTGCTGTGTAGGGCTCCTACGGCAAAGATAAGATTGTGGGGAAGCGGGATGCCTTGCAGAGGGGGAGGGTGAATCCTTTGTGCTTCAACAGCCTTACGCTGTCACACTGAAATAAAGTGACATAACGTGGCGGCGTTCAAAGACTGGCACAACGTGGTTTTGTCCCCTGTGGCTGCAGGTACCAGCAAATCGGTGTACACGGTGGAGCAAGTTAGATGTCAAAGTCCGTATTTAAGCACTTCGGTAAGTGAACTGACTTGCAAATGTGCTGAGCGCTCAGCAGCTCCTCTTAACTTTGTCCTTCTCAGAAAATTCCCACTAGTTGTCAGGAAAGAAAGCTCAGGAGAAATGTCTGCCTCAAACTTTTTCTCTCCCTAGTTCTCCATCCAGCACATATAACTCTGGCATTCATGTATCTCCCACTTGCCATGCTTTCCTTGTAGCATCCTATTTTTGAACATAAGCCAATTGACTAGCTAGTGTAAGTCTTTCCGAAAGAGGAAATAAACCAGGAAAATCCTTACAGAAACTCTGTGTTCTGACTCAAAACCACAGATTCTCTGCGAGGTTTGTGCCAGTTAGATTCCAGCCCCAGAAGGATTTAAACTACATGCTCACAGCCAGTACACAAATATTTCTGCTATCTAGGAGGGGAACCATTTTTATCACTGGCTGTGCTAAAAAGACTGGTTACAAACGTAAGGTTTTAAAGGGGCACGTAGCTGAGTGGTTCACCTGGAGCAGTGCTAATTGGTGACAACAAGATGTTACTGCAGAGCTCTACAGGAGCTGCAGGAAAGATCCCCAACGGACTCGTACCTACGGCCCCGGCTTAGCAGTAGTCTCTCTGCAAGACACTGTCCATACACTCTCCCTGGACTATCTGGATTATGTCATAGCAAAATACGATCAATGCACCTTTGATCAATGGAATAGGGCGGTGACAGGTACTCTTAATTCACTGTTGTTAGTGAGTATTGACAAGCCTGTAATGATCATGCTGCAGTGTGTCATTCATGCTGGGGGCATTAGCATTCTTTAAAGGTCAAAACCCAAATCCTTCTAGAAGACAGAATTCCGTACAGTTAATGGAAAACGCAGGCCTTGCAAAGTCAAGGTGCATGTCTCCGCACAACTGAGACTGTCAGAGCTGAAGCTGGTACAGTCGTTGGCATTATTAACGAGTTCATTGACTCGCAGGTGTACAAACACATGTACACACGGCACGGATGAAAACAGCACGCAAAAGTGGCGTAAGAAAATTTCCGGGCTTATGCGTAGAGATCACGTAATTTTTAGAGGTCTGGTTAAGATAAAGTCCTTGGGTCCTGCAAAGGACTCACTGGGTAAGCTGATCTTTGCAGGCATTTATCTGCACTCTGACATAGAGTCTCCCCATTTTCAGCTGGGTGCTGGATGAGCTTATTGACTTGCCCGTGCAAGTTTGCAGAATTAAAATTTTTTTTATTTACTTTTTTAAATTATGAAATTTTATTTCCCCACTTTAAAAGATGTGGCACATAAACACTCTCCACTGGCGAGAATAGAGGAGAAGAGACACTCAGTTTTCAAGACACTGCTTCTGAATTAGGGAAGGGGCACGATAAGAATCAGAGAAAAAAAACTGGGATTGCAGAAACCACATAAACCGGCCACAAAATGATACTTACTTTGTGAGACTCTTACTAGCTCAGTCACACTGAAAACACCTGATGTGACAAAACTGTCCTGGAAGCCCAAATGTCCTACAAAACAAACAGAGTGAGAGAGCTGCGATTAGCTTTAAGCATTTAATGACAGTATTCTCCAATACTTTATTTCATTTAGACTTAAAATGTGACATCTAATTTCCCACTTAGCAGTAATTATTGTTTATGTAGGTGGGTAACTAGTCATACAGCTATGTAGGCTGCTTTGTGGTTTCTATCTGGAGGTTAGGAAAGCTAACATGACACATCAGCAGGGAGATTTTTACATGTTAAAGCATCTCAACAGGAAATCTGAAACAAAGAGGACTATTTTAATAAACCGTTACCTTGGATGACCCCTAATGACTTCACAATTGAAATGAAAATACTGTACCTAGGAAACAGACAGGACAGCTAAGTTCCATAATCGTTTTAAACATTATTCTCTAAAGAAACATCTGATCAGGATTATCTACCCATTCATTCAAACAAAACAAGATTTAAAGATGTACTCTTCATTTTCTAGGGTTACACTGGGGAAATCTTAAAATAGCAGCTGGTTAAAAAAGCCTAAATTAATGCCTTTCCCACAAAAAGAATTCCTAACATTTAAAACTAGCTTTTGAAAAGAAAAAATGAATCTCTGCATAAGAAAAGTATTAACTTTGAGCTTTGGACTGTCTTTAGGAACCAGGGCGTACACTTCCACGCTCGCCTCCCTCGTGCAAGAAATGCCTCTACACTTGGTTTCAAAATGTTATTACACTTTACATAACAGTATTTTCTTTCTTCTCTGAAAACATGCCTACCACCAAATGTTCATTTAATTTTCACGGGTATGATCAATCACAAAAGGAGCAGCTTTCGGGCTGCAACCCAGTGTAAGTGTGCGGAGCGGGAGGCGGCAGTTCAGGCGGGACGTATCTGCACTTCAGTGAGAGATCTGCAGCTAGTGGGCCAGACTGACCTCCTGCTTCTGAAATCAGAGTCGAAGGAGAAATCTCAGGATAAAGGGATTATTAAAAGAACTGTAAAGTCCTACGTGTCCACAGGATAAGTGGCATACCTTTTTAGGTTGTCCTACTTAGAGTCACTGATTCCAGCTCACGCACACATACAATATTGAATGTTCTGCAGGGGCACCATCTGCTCCGTTGTTAATTGTTAGGGTCAGTACAATTTCCCTATGTTTGGTGTATCCTACCGTACCCCGCGCTCATCATGGCAATACCAGTGCACCTTCCCATAGCGACCAGAGCCATACGGCTAATGCAAGCTGCATATTTCTTCTCCTGGCTTTCTTTTGGGGTTATTTAAAACAAAACACATCCCATTGCCATTTCTACCTGCAGAATGGGAAGTAAAATACATACATCTTGTGTGCAGGACTACAGAGGGTGACATGTCAGGGAAAGCATCAGGGAAAAGTTTGGGAGAGATCTGGAGGGAGGTCGGCCGTGCATCTCCAGCCAAGATGTCGGCGAATTCTGCTCCTGCACAGAAGAACTTCCCTGTTTCTGTGAGGATCCTACGGTGCCAGATGAATGCAGTCGCTAAGCTAACAGACTTGAGACAAGTTTCTACATCAGGCATGTTTTTATACTTCAGCAATAATGATGAGTTTTCAAACTGTGTATATGTATATCTTTGGGCATCCTTGTGTATGTGTGTATACATATGTATTATGTACACAAACATATAAATATACACAAATCTGTCATGCTCCAGCTGTAGATAAATGTACTATAAAATATTGAAATTGATGCTGAAATTCAACACAAACAAATTCCTCAATCTGCAAACAAGGTTTTTATTTACATCAAGAGAATAAATTTTTCTCTACTTCAAATGAAAAAATGTTCTTACAAGCTTTCATTTTTCCTTATTTTTAACTTAGAAGTGGCTCTCAGATAATTGTAAATGCTTTTGCCTGATCTGCTTTCTGTTTTATCATAATAAAGGTGATGACTACATCATTCTGCTTTTTAGAAATGGTTGCTGGCCATACGCAACGTTCGTTCACTGACAATTTCGCAAGTATTTTTAATATGAAGATCTACTTTTCATATGCTGCAGCAGACCTGCCTATTGAATTAAATGATCTGTGAATTAAAAATAATTCTCTTAGGTCTTCACTGAAACCACTCATGTGCCTAAAATTAAGCATATGCTTAAGTGCCTTGCTGGATCAGGGCCAGTGCGCTTACTACTCCGCAGAGCCCTTGGTAGGGATGCCAGTCTATGCTATGTAACTTCTCATACTGTGCTCATCACGGCAGTATCTGAGCAACTTCCAGAAGTGCATTCAGCAATGCTACGAACATCTGTCACGTGTTGGTTTTCCACGGTGCACCATACTGGCTCTGCTCTGGTGTCCACTTCCACCTGCATTTCCCAGGCAGGTTCCTACCACACGAAGAGTGAAGGTGAAATTTAAATATAGAAGTGAAAAACAAATCACAGCTACAGTAGGACATCTGTGAGGGTAAGTCTAGAGACCTTTGTAATCACCTGATAAAACCAGGATCGTTGCACGGCTAACCGCGTTACCTTAACCTAGCAAACACAGGAAAAACCAGAAATGAAAATGCTGCAGTAAGGTTTTAAATACATTCTAGCTCTCAGGGTCCTGCAGAGCATGAGACATGTTGAATAAGTCAGCTTGGGCCTGGCAACTTCATTATTCCTATTTTACTGGGTATCCTTCAAACGTCCACTTACTTCTGTAGGAACATTTCTTATGTGTGTACATGCAACAGTAATCATTAAACGACAGCACAGAACAAGACTGATTAGATTTTCATCCTTCAATACTGAAAATAAACATTTCACAAATGTAAAGTGAATTTCACAATTCTCCCAATTTGTTATTTGCTTATAAACATTAGGAAATCAGGGGCTCTACTCGCCAATCATTAATAATATCTTGATACCCATAAAAGTAATGCCCTTGGCTTAGAGTCGTATCTTGATCTCTTTTTGATACACGGTTGGTCTGTGAATTCGCAGTTCAGTAGAACTCCATGAAAGTTTAAAGGTTTGCCTGGATGCTTGAGGATTTGCAAAATCCAGGCCTGAGACTGTAGCTTTTGTGGAGCTGTGATAACAGTGCAACGAGAAAATGAGAGAAACAGGACAAGGCAGCCAGACGTGTAAAAAGAGAATGACTGGGAAATAGCAGGATTGACGAAATATGTGAAGGAAACATTTTTTGCCTATTAACAGGGGTCAAAATGCAAAAATATATCAATTTGGCTGTTCCACTTAATTCTGACTGAGAAAAAAAAATAGGTAAAGTCAAGCAGTTACATATGCAGATGTGAGCATTAAAGAGCTCCTTTCTTGAAAAGATGATTAAACGCCTTGAAAGCTTGCAAGATTTACTTTTCATATGGCACTTTACTGAAATACGTGCACTGTGATACTTTTGCTAAATATCCCAAAGATAGGACATGAAATTGCTGTATATGATCAGGTTATCTTTGCAGCTTTGTGTGGCAGTCACAATTTGGTAGTGAAGCAGGTGTTCAAAATGAGGATGAGAGAATATTTTCTCACTTTATAAAAAACCAACGGAACTCATTCACTGAAATTCTGGGTATAAATGAAGACACCTGGCTCGCCAAGGCAGGCCCTGACTCAGCAAAGCAGTTAGAGCACGTGATTAATTTTAATCACATGCTTGACTAAAGCATATGCTTATTTGCCCCGCCAAATAAAGATGGGCT